TGTATCACCCCTATATCAAAAATTAGTTGTATGACATTACAAGAGATGTGGATCCCTAATTTTAATTTTAAATTAAAGTTTTTTAATAAGTACTAGTTGGGAAAATGTTATGGAGATACAATTCTTTAATTTTAAGCTGTCTTAACTTCCAATGTACCAAAAATGAATAAATGAATATTGGTTCGGTCAAGTTCTAATTCATATATCTAATAGAGTCTTTTGTTTGCAGTTTAAGTTGCATTAAATGGTAAAATCTTCTATTTCCATATTTCTAGTTGAATACCTTGTTTTATTGGTTAAATTATATTAAATTATAAAATAAAAACTATTAAATGAAGGACAATTATCAATATCATAAAGCCCATCTCATTTAATAATTTAAATTATATAATTTAATACAATATACATCACAACTCTTTTTTGTTTTTTAATTACCTATAGCAATCTTGTTTGTACAAAATTTATCAATGCAAAGATTTAGGTCAAAGATCCGTTTCATGGGTGAATAAGTGGGCTGCCAATAGGCCCACTTCATGAATCAATGACTTTCTAAAACCTACTGGAGTTGTCCTACTTGGGCTTTTCCTGGAATCCAATTCCAATATCGGTTAAGAAGATTTATAAAAGACTGTTTTCTTTTCTTTTATTTTTTAATGCTTGGGAACTGTGGAAATAATAATTCAAAATAAAAAGGAAAACAATAATTTAATGGAGATAATGCATTGTCTGCTTTTTTGTTTTGGGAAAAAAGAGATAAGAATGAGTTGAAAAATATCGTACATTCACAAAATAATTAAGGCAAAAAAGCTACATCAGCCCCCCAAACTTGTCAACTTGATACAAATCAGTTCCTAAACTTATTTCATAAGAAAAGTCCGTAAACTTATTGACTTAAGACAATTCAGTCCCTTTTTTTTTTGACGATTCCTTTAGTTTTTCCTTCAGCAACCTTAAGGTGACCTAATGGAAACATTAGTAGAATTCTTTACCTCAATTCAACATGTTTGGGGGTGTATTTATCTTTCAAAACAAGTTTATGGCCTTACTTGCATCAAGTCATTAAATCCAAGGGCTGATTTGACATCTACATTCTACATCTTTCATTAAATCATATGGATGAAGTAGCTCAGTTTGATGAGTTTGTTGAGAAATTCGTTCATACAATAAAGTTACTACATCAGCGGTATATATACCTGTCAACTAATATGACATCAGTAAGTGTGCTCTCACTTGTAATTTAAAATATTAATTTATTGTAATTTATTAAAAATATTTTAATTATAAGTGAGGACTACAATTATACTTATTTGTTGCCACATTAATTTTTTATAAGTAACATTCTCATCCATAAGTAGGAACCACATTAATGGATGAGAATATTACTTATATAGTATCCCTATTATGTGGAGGAATTTCTCCCATTCGTTAGACAGTGCTATGTTATGGAGAAACATGATGGCACTTTTGAACACAAAAAGAGTTCTCAAGCACGTTAACGGTTTGAAATTTGAGCTAAAAACTTGTGGATGTCTCTTCGAAAGGCTGCTTTTGGATCTCTTCATTTATTTGCTTAACTACATATATAGCATTGGTAGTTTCCTAGGGTCTCCTTTGAGGCTCTTAGGTTTAGTTTGTTTGTTTCCCCTCTCGATCCTCTCCTTTTTCCAACATGTCCACCTTCTGTCTTTCTGCTTGTCCACTGAACATGTAAGTGGATCTTCATTGTTGGTATCCACTAAAGCATCGTACGTTCTCCTGATCAATACTTTTCCAGTTTGCCTCTCTTTTTAACTAAAAATTTCTAAACCCGTCCTTGCATGAAAATCTTGGATTTGAGTTAGGATTACGTATATATGAATCAATTCCTTATAAAGCCCTAGAACTAGCCAGGTAAAGATTTATATAAGTACCTTGAGGATCTCTTTGGTATATATATTGATTTCTATTAAACAAAACCTGCAAAAAGCATCATTTTTACTTTACAAATATATATACTTGGAGGAAGAATATTCATCCAAAAAAAAAAAAAAAACCTGAAAAAAGAATCATTTTTACTTTATATATATATATACACATGGGGGAGGAATGCTCACGATGATGATGAAGTTGAAAGCGAAGTTGTTCCACTTGGACTGCACCCTAGATACTTAAAAGGAAGAAGTAGCTAGGTAGTATATTCTCCCACGCCAACCTGACTAACAGAAACGCCATGGGGCCTCTTTCTGCAAATACGACACATGGTTAATCACGCGGCCATCATAGCCTGCAGGACGCATTCCCATCCATCCGCACAAGCAACTGCTTTTCAAAAGCCACCCACCATATATTAATTTGAATGGAAAAAAATTTATTCTCTCTAAATAAAATTTTA